TCTCCTCTTTCTTCCTTTGAAGCTGGATGTGAACATTGTTTAAGATCATGCAGAAAGTATTTAATTTTTATACTGCCCCAAAGCTGAAGATCTCTGTGTGGTGTACAATCCATAAAACAATCTTCTCCAAAGATCCCCCAAATACTTCTTTCCTGTACGAACGCAACTGTGCTTGTGGCCATCTCCCCACTCAGTGGGGGTGGGGAGATGGCCGCGATTCTTTCCTGCAGGAGCGCGCCCGTGCCAGGATTTCTTTGAGAAGCACCACCCCAACATTACTGTAATGGGCAGAGTGTTGAATCTGATGAATGATAACGTGGTCTCTCATTTCCGGAGAGTTATGCAGTGCATGAAAAAACAAGTGACTATAGACAGATTTTTCACCAAAATTGGCCCTGCAGCTAAGAGACAAAGAAGAGAGGAAACCCCTGAAAGAGATCTCCCCAATGTCCCTTATGGTGGGGGACTCTCCCTCCAAACAATAACCTCCCCCTACACCTAGGTCAGTGTTCTCTACTGTACCGTACAGTACTTTGTTCCAAATTTTTCTGATTTAAAAAAAAATAGTTACAGAACGGATTGACCTTATTTACATTGAATCTTATGGGGAAATTTGACTTGGGTCACAACCAATTTGGGTCACAACCAGGGTCGTGGAATGAATTAAGTTTGTGAGCCAAGGTACCACTATATATAAAAGTAGCTATTTCTGGAACCCGTTTTTCCCCTTCAATTGAATGTGTGCATCATGGGGAACTATGCATATTCCTGAAAGAAATAGGTGCGCCTCAGCATCTGATTGACCTGATGCAGAAACTATATCATGGACAAGAAGCTACTGTAAGGACTAATTATGGAGAAACAGAAGTTTTTCCTAGAGACAGAGGCATCAGATAGGGGTGTATTTTATCTCCCCATCTATTCAACTTGAACACAGAACATATTATAAAGAAAGCTGGACTAGGATCAGAGGGAGAAAATTAGTGGGTGACACAACAATGATTGAAGATATGAGGATGATACTATCTTGGTGGCAGAAAGCAGCCATGAGTTGTGAAACAACTGATGAAAGTGAAAGCAGGACTGAAGATTAAGGAAACAAAAATCATGACTGCAGAAGAATTACATGACTAAAAAAATGTGAAAGATTTTGCATATGTTGGCTCAGTCATCAATTCAAAGGTAGACTCGGCCAAGAAATTTGATGAAGACTGACACTTGGAAGGACAGCAATGAAAGAACTAGAAAAGATAATCAAACATAAGGAGATGAAGGCCAAGATCATGCACCTGATTGTATTCCTGATCAAGACGTGTGAGTGTAAAAGCAGAATAGTGAGGAGAGCTGAAAGGAGGAAAATAAATGTATCCAAAACTTTGTGAATACACTGAAATGACAAGAAGACTAACAAGTGGGTCCTAGATCAAATAATTTCAGAACTTGTTCTAGAAGCGAAAAGGACAGACTGAGGCTGTTGTACTTTCAACACATGATGAGAAGGCAAGACTCCCTGGAGAAGAGAATCATGCCAGGAAAAGTCGAAGGCAGAAGAGGAAAAGGAAGCCCAAATAAGAGATGGATTGACTTCATAAAAGAAGCCACGGCCTTGAATTCAGAATAGCTAAGCAGAGAGGTCACCAATAGGCCGTTTTGGAGGGCTTTCATTCATAGGAGCACCTTAAGTCCAGGATGACTTGACAGCATGTAACAAGAACCACGGTTTTCCGTCTCTCACTTGTGGACTGAAGTTGCACTAGGCACACATACTGCCCTTTGATCATCTGTGCATAGTTGTGAGTATTCTAAGCTCAGAAAGGATATTGGAAAATGGGAGGAGGTACCAAAACAAGCCTCTAATTAGGATAGACGGGTTATCTGGCTGCACAATTCTTCTTCCTACAGCACTTGTTCTAATCTGTGCTGTGCAAACGTTTTGCTAAATACAGAAGCCTAAAGGTTAATACAATGCAGATGTCTTGTGGATTAGGATACATTCCATTATGCAGCTACTTGACCTGCAGGAGAAAAGGTTAATAAGCCAGGCAGACTGGATTAGAAAGCAAGGTTCAGTGAGGCAGGCCTTCAGTCTTTAAACCAAATTTAAAAGAAATTTTAAATTCGTTACAACATGCATAAAACCACATTCAGATTCGCTTTCTGAATTCTGTTTCCCAGTCCTTCCTGAGCATCTGCCCCCTACCAATTCAAAGTTGTTTGGCTGATGCAGCCCTCTACTGGTTTGACTTGGAACTAATTTTATTTGTTCCTAAATGTAGCAAAAGCTTCAATACGTTTAATTTCTGTCTCTTAAAAAAGTGTTCAAAGCAGCTATGATTAAAACCCACATCAAAAAGAAAACCTTAATTAAAATGTAGTATAAAAATCAAATAAATTAAAAACACAATTAAAACTACAATAAAATAAAAACAGATAAAGGTTTTTAATGTTAAAAATGGTAAAAACAAGGCCACAAACAAGGTAATTGTCAATTTGAGTGCTTGTAAGATGTAGCCTAAACATTGAACACTTATTTGCTTTGCTAGATCAGACCACATGTACATCCATCCATTTCTGGAATTATCCAGCATTGCATCACTTAGAAGCAATCCACCCAGTGTCCTGGGCGCTTATACTAGTGTGCATGATGGTTTTTAGTAACTCCCATTATTTCCAGGTATGCTGCATTTAAAAATGTATGTTCCATTATTAGCTAACATATGAAACAGTGCTTATAAACCTACCCTACCATACCCTGACTCCTTTAAGAAAGGGAAACTGCTAAGTTGTTATTGTATCTGTGTACTTAACAGCACCTGTTTGCACAATGGTGCTTCTCTAATTTTAAAAATATATGAAATAAGCAGAATCGCCAATTTCAAAAACGGAGCTGGTTAGTGGAGCTTGCATAAGGGAACTCTGTTTATCTGTCCCAATATGGAAATGAGAATTCCCACTCATTCCCGTGGTTACCTTCAGCAGCTCAAAAGCCCTGAAACACCATCAGGAGGTCCAGCAAGAGCTACAGAAGCAGTGGAGGTGGAGTGGCTTTGTTGGACCCCACACTCCCACGTTCTGTCCCCCGGGTTATGATTGCTCTTTAGAGAATCTCGTCCACTTTGACAGTTCGGATGGGCTTCAAAGGCTGCTCGGAAATCCTTTAATAAATAACAACTGTAAACAGGATTTCACACATAGCTGACAGTGACTAAAGGTATAGGTGCTCTACTGCTGAAAAGCAATCCTAATATATAAAACAGAATCACGATGCTCATCGGGGTGATATTGCACCCTGGGAGTTGGGGACCCGAGGTCTGAGACACATGTGCTGCTGGAGTTGGTTTCATGTGGTCCTAATTTCATGCAGCCTGTAGAAAGGGAGTGACACAAGAAGACAAAGGAAAAGGGGGAGGGGGAGGAAACAAGACCCACTGTTTTTGGCCCTTCTTCCACCCATTGCTGATCCTGACCGCACCCACCTTGGCAGCCCTTTCCCCGAGAGAATGCCCCACAAGGGAACACAGCCCCACACCTGCTCCATATGCACCACTGCATTAAATAATTGCATCCCACGGTTGGATTATATGGAGCTACATGCACATGGGTGCTTTTCTACTTATTACTGGCATTGTCTATATATACATGGCATATTAAGGTTCTCCAGAATGAGAACAGAAAGCTTCACCCATGCTGTTTTTGCGTGAAAGTTTTCTTGCCTCTTAACAGGTTTCATATCTGGAAATACTTTCTCAAAAAAAGAATAGTTTGAAAGAAAGAAAGAAAGAAAGAAAGAAAGATGCCATCACTGTGGTACTTTTCAGACAGAATACAAAGGAACCTTCAAATGCAGACACCTTAACACAATGTATTGCTTGATTAGATCTTACATCGTAAGTCTTTGTCTTGTTATTGTAACTCGCTGCAACTCTTATTCCTGCATATCAGCAAAGCTTTAGTTAGGACCTATCCTCGTATGAGGCAAGGTAGATTCCCCACCTTAGGCAGTGGAGTGGGAAGGGTGGAATATCATGATGCCATACTTACTGTCTACTCTGGTCTGGATAAACTCATGGTCACTTTTCCACTGCAGCCAAAAGCACAGCCAGAAGTATCCAGTGACGCACATCTGAACAAATGACCAGCCTATGCCTCATTTTGAGGATGCTCAGAACCCCGGAGTTTCTCTTGCTAACCACTTTCCTGCTGTGGCAAATGAGTCCAACTCATATTCTTAATTATTATCTGCTACTGTTTTCAAGAACATTTATTACCTGGTCTCCACTGAAAACCATTTCTACATTTCACTGCTTGAGTGCCTGAAAACTTTCATCTTCCAGTTTGGATACAATTATTTTATTTTGTTGTACTTCCCCATTTTCCTTACTGGGTGGAAAGTTTCTTAGATACCATCAGTAAAAAATCCATACAGTTGTTGGCTTTCAGAAGTACAGAGCTGCAACACTGTGTGCCTTTCAGGGACAAAATACATCAGTCCTCTAAGCAGTTTCAAAGAGGACAACGAAGTAGCAGAAATTTAAAAACTTACATGTGTTCTCCATGCAAACATTGTTGCTTAAAGAAGTTAACTGCCAGCAAATTGTGGTTCTCTTATTTTCCTCATCCTTATAATCTGAACTCAAAAGACAAGGATGTTCTCTTGCTTACCAATATTTTATAAATAAATAAATATCTGGAAGGTTGCCTTGCATAACATTGAGAGCCAGTGTAGTGTGGTGGTTAAGAGCATGGGACTGGGACTCAGACAACCTGGGTTCTAGTCCCCGCTCAGCCATGGAGCCAACTGGGTGACTTTGGGCCAGTCACAGACTCTGAGCCCAACCTACCTCACAGGGTGGTTGTTGTGGGGATAAGATGGAGGAGGAGAATGATGTTAAGCTGCCTTGAGCCCTTTGTAGGAAAAAGGCAGGATATAAACCGAAAAATGAATAAATAAAATAACACACATTATAACCTACAGTTTCAAAACACTTATTTCAACACAGTGCGAATCCAAGATTGAATAATTTTATTATGGAATTCTACCTATTTATTCATTGTACAAAAATGACAGAATATTTAAACATCAAGATAAAATGCACTTCAGTGGAAACAAAACTGAGTTCATAAGGACAAAAAAGTAAAGTTCTATTTATTCATCAGTTTAAACAAACAAAAACAAAAAATCCAAGGCTTCTAAATTACATCTAGAATCCATCTATTCTTTATCTTCTGCATCCATTGGGGAGGAGTCTTCTGCTTCTGAAAGTTTCTCATCATCTGAAATAAATATTTTTTCTCATTATTTTAAAAATGGTATACTTCAGTGAAATTAGTGCAGCATTAAGATGAATCTGAAAGTATACTAGACATATTGAAGCTTATGATGATGTCTTTTATAATATCACTTTTTGTTGAAGAATTTCGCAAGCTTATACTAAGATGAAATTGAACAAAGCAGGTATTTGCTTTGAACAGCCATATCAGAATTTATTATTTCATACAATTTTTTCTGAGTTCTGTGAATTTTGCATACCAATTTTTTTTAATTTGTGAGGGTGTAGCAATTTAAACAATTCCAAAATGCATGAGTTTCATGCACATTGCTAGAAACAGAACAGAACAAAGCTGATTTCACCAGTGACTCGAAGATGGAACAAAAGACAGTTGATAAAACAGATTTAACAAAATTTATACATCCCTACTACATGCCAGAATCAACAGATTAAGAATGCAAAATGTGACTGTTTCCTAGTGTTAATTGCTCAGTTGTTTCTTTTGACCCTATCAAAAGAAAGGGTTCTTTTATTTCAACCTATCTAGCAAATTTGAGCATACTTTTGAGACAGGGAATTATGTAATCATGAAGTCTGCATAGATTTCCCTATCTCCTCCCCATGTCCCCCCCCCCCCAAAGCTCAAATTTACTAGTAGGCTGAATGAAATGAAAGTGCTCATAAAAAGGGGTCAACTGTAGACCTCACCTTCCCAAAGGGCCTAGAGGCTTGGGTAGTGTAGTGCACTGGGTAGTGTGCATTCAGGACAACACACAAACTCTGGAGAATCAGATTCAAAAGGGGGAGATACACTTGTCACCCCCTCCCCCCTTTAGGGGGAAAAAATCTTCACCGCTTCACTTTTCAATTGACGGCTAACAACTGTGAGCAAAATGTAGGTGCACATGGCTACACCCTATTGCACTTTGGCAGCAGAAAATTATCCAGATACTGGCTAGATAAGGTTCTACATTTTGGGCTGCCGTAGAAGCACACATGCAAAAGACAGGAAAAAAATGAAAGAAGTTGCTCAGATTTGTGCCACTGCAACTTTCCCCCCCCCAAAGGCTAACGACAGTTGCTCCAAAGTGCTGCTTGGGCATCACTGAAGTAACTGTCACTGAAGCGGCATGGAAAACTCATCAAAGGGCCTTTTGCCTGCTTTTGCTGAGCTGCTCACTCGCTTCCTGAAGCCCGCAATGGGACTGGCCTCCGAGATTCAGAGGTCATACATATCCCACTGTGGGTTCAACTATTCTAGAATAAAGTATGAATTGCCGGGATGCATCGTTGCCTGAAAACTGGTCCCCCTGCAGGAAACCATCTGGGTTCAAATGACAGGACAACCCACCATGGCACACGGTGACCCACATTGGGTTGCAGTGTTGTGTGAATCCTGTCTATCAAGAAGCAACAATGGCATTTAATAGACGTAAGACATAGTCCAAATTCTGTTAGTCCTTGTCACACAGATGTTATGCTATGAAGGTCATGAAGACTATGAATTTGTTTGAACTGATTGTTCCTGAAATCTAAACCACAGTTTGGAGGACTAGAAACAAGCTGCACGACAATCTCTCATCACACCACTCTCCACATTTTCCCTGGTGCGAATGCAAGGAAGCAAAGGGAGGAATCTGAGTGCACAAGAAGAAGGAAGGGAATGTTCTTGATCATTAATTCTGAACTGATGTGTAAGTTCCTTACAAGCAAGGCTTGTCTTTATATAACTGAATGACTTACTTTCCAGTGTCTGCTGAAGCTCATGAATTGTGCTCAGAAGAACATGAAATTGCTTTCGTCTTAACTCCAGCTGAAACAAAAACAAACAGAATACTGAATTTATGGAAACATTTGCCATTCTTTTTGTTCTACATCAATAATCATGTAATCAAAGTTATAGATAATTCCATTATAAATAAGAGAGAAAAAATAAGAAAAACTTACTTTGTCTTCAACATTTTCTTTGATATGCGAAAGATGTTGAAGTTCTTTCCCCAGTGCTTCTAATTGCCTGAGAACATATTTATTTATTTATTTTATTAAAACATTTTTATGCCGCCCCATTTGCCGAAGCCTCGGGGCGGCTTACAACAATAAATTAAAATAACATTTTAAAATATATACATTAAAACAAAATACAAATATACAATATAAAACATACAATATAAAACAAGCTGCCCTGGCCAGATAAAATTCAATAATATTAACATTTAAAATGCTGCTTAAATAAAAAGGTCTTCACCTGGCGCCGAAAAACAAATAACGATGGCGCCAGGCGGACCTCTCTGGGGAGCGCATTCCATAACTTAGGCGCCACCGCTGAGAAAGCCCTCCTCCGAGTAACCACCCTCCTAATTTCTTTCACGGAGGGCTCCCGGAGAAGGGCCTCTCCCACCAATCTCAGGGGGCGGCTGGGCATATATGGATGTAAGCGCTCCTTCAGGTAACCAGGACCCAAGCCATTTAGGGCTTTATAGGTCATATTAAGTATACCATCAGTGAATACACAGTACCTTTATTTTATTCTAATTACAAATATCCCACACTTAAACTATGCACAACCCTCAGGTTGTTTACACCAAATAATCAACACTGCAAAACATTTAATCTTAAAACAACATTAAACAAAAAGACCAATCTTTCAGGAGAAAAACATGATTAAACATCATTAAAAGCCTATGAAAATAAAATGGCACTGAAAGGAAACTACATTAAGGCATCCAAAATAATTTTGTCAGGCCTAAGAATGACCAGGAAGGTGTTTAAAGGTCTCCACAAAGAGGGCTGTCTTAACCTGGTGCCAAAAAGATGGAAAATTTGGGACCAGGTGGGTCACAGTACAGAGGCTGTTCCAAAGTGTTTTTGGGGAGGGGGCACCACAAAAAGATCCTGCCCTTAGTTGCCACCCTCCAAGCCTCTTGAGGGGTTGGTACTCAGAAGGAGGCTGCAGAGGTTAAGCACAGTGTCTGGTAGATTGGGGTTGGGAGAGCCGCTCCGACAGGTATGATGCTCCTAACCTGTGCAGGATTTTATAGGTTAAGATTAGCACCTTAAATTGGAATTGGAAGGATACAGGCAGCCAACAAAGGCAGGTCAGAACTGGTCTTATATGTTTGGACCTCTGGGTCCCAGTTAATAATCTGGCTGCCGCCAGCTTCTGAACCATCTTTAAGAGTTACATGAAGAATTTCTAGCAGCCAAATTTCTTTCCAGCCCGGCTGTGGCACAGGTAAGGTGCTCCAAGTTTGGAGTCCCAGCTTCTGCCTCAGAGCAAGGTCAGTGTTATGCTGTAAGATGCCTTGTAAGAGTAGATACTATGAAAGGAAGGGTTAAAAATCTATTAAGCAAACAAATAACATTATATGCTAACTGCCATGGGCCTGCACCACTTTCTAGAAGCCCCAGAAACAAAATCATTTTGGATGATACCAAAAGCTGCTGAGAGGCCTAGGAGAATCATTCTGCCTATCCTTATTAGAAAAAAGTCATTGGGGCAACTGGATATTTTTCTGTAACAAATTTGGGGCTCAAAGCCAGCATCATCCAAGAATAGCTGGAGCTGCTCTGCAACTACTGCACAAACACATTCCTAGGAAAGAAATATTCAGGAGCGGTCTCACAATGGCCTCTTTCAAAGTGGCCAGGACCATTCCCTTTCATAAAGTAGCTAAATATCCCAGTGGATATAGCTGGTTACATCCCTCTTGCTACATGATATCAATAAACATGAGCAAGGATTGTGAACATAGGTGGTAGCCCGAGTTCCTCCAAGCACCTTCTCTAGAGCCAGATCTAGATCCTCAGTAACAAACATTCCTTCTATAAGTGCAGCTCTGGACACACCCACATAATTTTCTACAGATTAATATGCATGGATTTTGTAAACTAGCAGAAAACAAGGGCAAACTCAATTACTACTATAATGGCATATTGCAGCAGTTATTAATGCTGGATTAATATGCATTACTGTAGCACAAGTAAGCCTGAAATATACCTCAAACAACTAAGCTTTCATGTTGGATACAGTGAGGTTGCAAATGTTCTGAAATGAAGAATTCAGAGCACAGACTTTCCAGTTCAGAATTTGCAAGCTAATCATAACCCACTGTCTGATCCCAGCTCATAAATAGTTTGGTCCTGGCGTCACCCCTACTGCAGAGGCAGCATTACTAAGGGCACAGAAGCCAAACCAGAGTTCTCATGGATATGGATACTGCTCCTGGAGTGTTTCTGGACTGAACAGCCACAAAGGAATCTCAGAAGTATAATCTCTGGCTAGAAAGATCAATGCAGTCTCTCAGCCCTGAATGAACAGAAGAGAGGCCACAACAAACGGACTCAATATAAACCAGGCTACCGTTTTATGAATCATTACAAAAGGAACTGTGATCATAATTATGTAACTCTGGTTATTAAGTCGAGGCATAATTTGTACATGTGAATGTACAAATTTTTTATGTGAATTTCTATAGTGTATCAAATAGAAATGTCTGTGCTCCAAGTATTTTTATTGGATCATTGATTCTTAGCTTATGTTGCCTGACTCTATAAAAACGTGAAAGCATTTCTAATAAATTGTCTCATTTTTGTATTAAGTGTTAGACTTATACTTACTTTAATGTTTCATGTCTATCTGGATGGTGCTGTATTACTTTAGCCAAAGCATCATATTCTAAAATAAAGGAAAAAATAGCAAAAAGAACACATTCAGCTTTATTAAGACAAAATAAAAAGTATGATTCTGTTTATTTTAAGAGTACATATATAGCTTTTAGAAAAGTAAAACTTAGAGGAATAAAAAATAGCAAACTTGCTAATGTAATTGGGATGACTGAGGCTTAGATTATAGTTCAGTTGCTTCCTCCCTTTTAAAGAAGGACACCCACCCATATATATCAGTCTTTCTCCATTTCATACCAGCTTTTCACTTTTCTCCTTCAATCTCCCTTCTCAACACAAATTTCCTTCCTAGTTCATCTCTCTCCCTTATGCATTCCCATTTGTGTAGATCACACTTTGGGAATCCACACCACTCCTCCATAAGAGGAGCTGTGCATTTATCTATTTAAGCACCATTTGCTTACATACTAGAATGACAAACAGGATTAAAATATGTTTTCTGATCCTGGTTTATGGGAAATCATACTTTCCCCAACTCGTGTGTGCCCAGTTCTGCACACACTAAGGGCTATTTGCAACTCTTATGAGTAGCCAGCAGAAGAAGAAACAACTTTTTTCCTCTTCATCTGCAGCTTCCTGTACCCTCCAGGACTCTCTGAAGCAAATTTGGAAGGGATGCAGTGAACTGCAAGGAGAATAGCAAAAGGAACAATGCTTGCACAATGTTCAATTTAAAACATGTATTCTAAAAATTGTTACATATTTGCCATTGCATCTGAATAGATCCCTGAAAATGAATCAAACTCTGATTGAATGAACAAATGTGGTTCTTTCAACATGCCTAAAATCACCTGTAGATTCAGCAGTCCAAAAGGAAGTTACATTGAGAGTTGTTCAACATTCTTCAGGCACATTATAATTAATCTGAACCAAGCTAGGAAGAAATTTTTCAATAGTTTATTTGTTTATTTCATTTTTATACTGCCCAATAGCTGAGGCTCTTTGGGCAGTTAACAAAACTTAATAGTTTCACCAGAAAATATACCAAAATAGCAGGCATTTGGTGTTTTGCTCTATCATAGCAAGTCTTGTTCAAGTTTAGTGAGTAGTGAATAACATATTTAAGAATTTAATTGGGAAGATTTAGGAAACCAGTATTTTTATAAGAAAAGAAAAGTGTTGTGGTCATTTAGAAACATTAAGCATTAAATCAAAATGTTATACACCCCTTCACATAATAAGTACTAACTGCAAAATAAATCCTTACCTTGGCGATTTTTTCGTATTCGTTTTGCTTGAAGAATCTGCTTTTTGCACTCTGCAATTTTGTCATGTGCTGCAGCTATGCTATTTTCTTTCATAGAAATAAAATAAAAAGTGATTGACACAAATCTATAAATGTCACAGTGACTATTTATTCAACTGTGAAAACTTTGTACCATAAGTGGCAACATTACATAAAGCATCTGGCTTTCAAGTTTCATTTCTAATAATTGAGAATAGGTCTATAAATCATAACATACTGCATCTTCTAATACTATAATTACTGTCAGAGTGCTCAGAATGCAGATCTACTGAAATTACTATTTTGACAAAAATGCCAAAGAAACAGAAGATACATTTACAGTAAGTGCCATAGAATCTGGTATGCTTTCCAGCCAAAAAATTGGATGAGAATTTAGGTTTATCTATTTATGATGTCCTTTTAAATACTGATATGCTACCCTGCTACCCTATAACCAAATTCCCAGGCAAGCTTACAAGAATAAAAATAAATTAAAAATAGCTACAGTGAAAGATATCAACAATAAAACTGGCAACGGTGCAATCCTGCATATGTCAATTTAGGAATAAGCTGCATTGAGTGAAAGAAACTTATTCACAAGTAAGTGTTCATAGCAGGGATGGGGAGGATGTGGCCCTGCAGATGTTCTTGAAAAGCAATTCCCATTCTTTCTCACTATCAGCTATGCTGGGCTACAGTTTATGCAAGCTGCAGTCAAACAGGATCTAACAGGCCAGAATTTCCCACCTGTGGCTTTTAGCATCCAACCATAAAAGCAGACAAAAATTAAAACAAATTAGAAATGTACAAGAGCAAAAAAGACCTGGGAAAATAAGTAATCCTTTGCCTAGTACCAAAATGGCTAGTATCAAAGTAGGATCCAGGTAAATCTCTTTAGGGAAAGAGTTCCAAACTCGGGTGCCAGTGCTAAAAAAACGCTTCCCTCAGTTGCCCATCCACTGAGAGTACCTAATGAATACTTTCAGAAGATCTTAAAATACAGTAACTAAATGAAGAAACAGGTGATTCTTCAGATACCTTGGGCCAAAATCTTGACAGAGTAAAATCAGAACTTTAAATTAGCTTCAGAAATGGACAGAGATCCATTAAAGTCAGCAAGTTGCAAGCCAAACTTTTCAGACTTAAAAGGCAGTCCCACATTGCAGTAGTCCAAATGGCTGGCCACCCGATCATGATTGTGGCAATTAGGCTTTTCCCAGGTAGAATGACAGCTGGTATACCAACTAGTACACCAACCTACATTTCTATAAAGTGCCTGGAAGCTGTCATGCAACGTCAGAGAGCTGGATACAAATCTGATCCTTCAGAGTGAGTGAAATCCTCTCCATCAGAGGGCAAACACTACTCTTATGGGCAGATGAAACATCTACTAACAGTAACTTTATCTATCTGGATTCAGCTTCATTTAGAATGTAGTCTCCAGAAAACCAAGAACGTAAGACTTTCCTAGGCCTCTTCTAGCTTGCAATTTCAGGCTTCAATTTGTAATATAAACAAAGCCAAATTGTATTTGGGTCGCAATGGTGATTGGAAACTCAAGGAACTTATGTGAGAGTGCGGTAAAACATGTGGGACGCTGCATGTAGTCCCTGATTTAAAGAATTGTGGCAACCATAAGCAATGTCTTATATAGTTAAAATTTTATACTGAATATGTAAAAGCTTCAGAAGGGTTCTTTTAATATTTATATATTTATTAAATTTATGCCCCACCATTCTGCCAAAAATGGCACCCAAAGCAGCTAACAATAGTAAAAATCAAGCCCAAAACATAAAGACAGATTAAAAACACAATACAATCATCAATAAAAGGCAATGATCCTCAACCACTTAAAACCCCATCCATAGCAACCCAGCTTAACTGCCAAAGGCCAGTCTGAATTAAAATGCCTTCCTGCTCAATGCAATGTCATTTTTTCTAAAAATGAACTTTATTTATGGTACAAAAATAAAAGTAGAAATTCAATTGATTACCAATATCTTTGTAGATTTTTTCATAATTCTCCATCTCTCTGAGATTCATATCATATACAAGCAAGGTTTTTCCCATTGAAAATTCACACTGTGATAGGGTGCTCAGCATGCGCTGATATTGGGTGTACCTAAAAACCAGAGAAGGAATTCATTGAGTTCATGCATTTCAATAAGTTAATATCTCATGGACATTTTACAATAATTCTTAGAGGCAATAAAGCTTGGCACAAATTAGTAGAAATGAAAACTATTTCTATATTCAAGTACTATATTCAAGTTCTATATTTATAAATATAAATATTATTTATATTATAATAATATAATTTATTATAGATTATATAAATGGAATCATTAGTATTGTTTTACCTTGTTCTAGCATGTAATTATTATCACAGCTATCAAATTCTTATTTTTTAATGTCCATGTAAACTGGTATTAATAAATTGCAGCAATGTAGTTTCTGAGCAGTGTAGAGTGGTCACAGGAGGGTGCTGTCAAGGAGGCATCAAGCAGCTTCTCCAATCTCTGTGCCAGTCATTAATAAATGTTATAAAGGCATCCCATTCTATTTCTTTAAACACAAATTGCCCAAAAAGCCTAGCTGCTACTGGTTCTATTCTAGAAAGAGGCTAAGGAAGGTGTATTTAACCTAGCCTGACCAGCTGCAGCTCAATTAACTCAGAATCTATGTATATTTCTTCCAAATAACATGTATTGGGTTGCAGCCTGACAGTGTAATCATATTCATTTCTGCTTAGAAGTCTCATTTACTTCTAAGTAAGCGAGTGCAATAGGCCTTACTCCCAGGTAAGGATTATAGGTATAGGATTATCTTCCCAGAGTAGGTGCTAGAGAGAAAGCTATAAGAGAGACAAGGTAAAGTAGCATGAAAATATTTGTCTCAGTTTTTTAAAGATGAATTTCTCCCCCCTCCTCTTTCTAACTCTATTCTCTGTTGTGCTTATGGTTATTACTATTTTGATCAGTTTTGAAACAGCAAGGGAAGCTGATCTTTAATGTAGTTAAACTGTATCCATTAAAAGAAACATAAAAGAGGCCACAGGAAGCAGTTTGAGGAGTACAGTTTAACTACTTTTAGAATCTCAGCCTTAAGGGAAATGTAATGCCAATAAACAGACTACAGCAGTTCTCAAGCAACATGAAAAATGCTAATTTATTTAAATTTAATGGTTGAACTGATTAAAAACCAAATGATAAATCAGCAACATTTTACATTAAATGGATACGCATTGCCTAAACGTCTAAAAGCTTGAACATAATTTCATGATGCCAACTGCCTGTGTCTGTGTAAGTGTTCATCAACAATAAATAATTTACAATGAAATGTTAATTTCATATGCTATCCTATTCTTTGCCAATACTGTTTTACGAAGATCTTTTGAAAAAAATGATATATTCTAGTATTTAAGTCTTTTTCTAATAACATTCATATTTCCAATTAAGTTTGTTTTAGAATAGCACTTCCTGCCTGTCCAACCGTGTTTTAACTTTTGTATGCTAGCCTTTTTCAAAAGCAACAGTGCCATACCCAAACCACATGTGGAACACTCATACTGTCAGTTACCACTTTTTAAAAACAACAAGACATAGTCACTGAAATGCTGGAGAAGAACAAACAGTTTTCAAAAGCCAAATGCAATGATGATAGCATTAAAGCATTCTGTGAGAATGGGAAATGTGTGCATATCCTTTACAAAAATCTGGTAGTGATATGTTGGAGAAGCATGATGGTGAACACTGAGCTTCCAAAGCAAGAACAGGGAATGTGCAGCTCTACAGATGCTGTTGAACTTCTATTTCTTTTAGCCCTAGCCAAAAGAGCCAAAGGTGAAAGTGAATGGGAACTACAATTCAACATCTGGAGGTCACACAATCCCCTTCCCTCCATTAAAGAAAAGTAAAATCCCAAAGTGCTACTGTCATTAGAATGATGCTGTGCCATCGCCATTTATGATACAATCAATGTTCAAGGTGCCTGCTATACAGATACACCCACATGGCAAATGCATAGCAATAGGTCAATTATCTGGAAACAGAATAACTTATCAGAAGCAATATCCCTATAGCAAAAGCAGTCCTGAAAGAAAGCATTTGGACTATACACAACAATGGAAGGCAACGATGCAACTCATATCTCCCTAAAAATGATTGTGTAAGAAGGCTCTCACAAAAAAATTCTGTAAGGTGTGCTTGTTCTTTTAGAGGTACAAATCAAATAAATTTTCTGGGACATGTTATTTAGTTAGTCTGCATCTTACCATTTAGCAGTTGCTATTAAAGCAATTATCAACAGCTGCCAAAAATGTTTACAGAATTACATAGGGTATTAAACCGCATATACTTGAAAATACCAAGTCATTAGATAACTGGTGCACCATACCTTGTTCTTAACCATGTACAGTTGCTACAATACTTAGACTGTTTTAAATATTTGTTTTCCTAAAACACTGCTTTCCTCTGAATGAATCCTCACAATGAATTTTGGCTATGCCATTTCTACTGGTATATGTCCCTGGACACAGTGCCCATGCTCCAGTAAAATTATTATGCATCACTGGTACTTAATGAACTGCTCCCATTTTCCTTTTACAAGTAACAGACAGCAAATACCCTTCTTCTTGAGATCCAGAATTGCACCACTTGATGAAACTCTTCACCAACAAATTAATTCTTCTGTCATCACCTGCACCATCTCCATCAATCAAAAGTCGCTTGCGAATAACTTCATCTAAAGTAAAAAACAATATTTGTCAGTGAACAATACTGATGCTTTTTTCACAGAAGAATGCCATTAGATAAAACTACCGCTTGATTCTATACCTATTTACTTAAAACAAGTCCTTGATTAAATAGTTTTAGTTAGGTGGAAGTATGTGAGATACAGACCTCCCTAGTGTTTACTGTTAAGTGATCTTGCATATCATAGTGATAATTACATTGGTCTATTTACATAATCAGCAGCTGATTTCATGTAGTCATACAAATAGGATCTTACAGCATAATCCTATATGTGTCTGCTCAGAAGAACTATTACATACAATAAGGTATACCTACTGGTAAATGATTAGGACTAAAGCATTCACACTAAACAAATGGGAATATCTTATTAAATATCAGCAAGTTTTGAATCCACCCCATATGTTCACTGTAAGTTTTAAAATAAACTTCAATATAGAATTAAGGGGGAGAAGAGGTTAAAGCACTGAGGCATGTGGGAGAACATGAAGTACTATGTATAACAAATATAAAGAAGAGAACTAGAACCATCTCTAAATGAACACATTGTCAGATAAGACGTTTATTATTCCCAGTATTTTTTCAATCAAAGTAAAAATAGTGTGTGCAGGAACTAGGAAGTATGAAGGAGGCAGAATACCATGTTGCAAGAAATGACCACCTTTACCAGCCTGAAGAAAAGTGGTGGGAGGTGAGGAGCACCACTGGCCTCTCAGAAAATGCTTGTCATAAAAGTACAAACAGAAAATACGAACTCTTGACAGAAAGAGACAAATTTGTGGCCATGAAAAAAGCCACCTTGGCCATGCACAAAAGCCTATGCCCATGTAAGCCGTATGTATGTAGGTCTTATTCATAGGTTTAGAGGAGTCTGTGGAAGCCAGAGACAGGCCAAGCAGGAACCAGCCTGCTTCACCCCACTCCATACATTCACTGTGCATGAATATGTCGACTTAGTATTACATTTATAGGGTACCTGGGGAGGATGAACACCCAAGCCATGAGGATGTGGGGCCGGGAGAGAGAGATTCCAGACTGCAATTTATTAAAGAGGGATACAGATGCCAAATAAACTATAATTAAACCGAAGCGTAGGTAATACCGTTTTCCCACATTCTTCCTCTCTACTTTCATCACTTCCTCCTTCTCCCCCACCTGGTTTCCCCAAAATCTATTTTAGATCGCAAACAGATCCTTGGGTAGCAGGAACCTGTCTAGTGCTGCCTCTGTCGCTCTAACATCACGGCATTACACTGCCATGGCACGGTGCAAGAAACAGCAACAGTAATTAAATTAAGGGAGACCGGGCTGTGGGCATGGACGGGGTAGGCAGGCTGGCGCTCGGCTTCAGGTCGGGGAGCTTCCAAGCGCGGGAGACCGCAGGGAGGCAGCGCATCAGCACGCCTCTCCGCCGCCGCACACCAAGGAAGGACCACGAGGCCCCTTAACGGCGAGACCCGCTTCCACGGACTGGGAGGGTCCTTTCCCGAGGCCGCGAGGAGGGGCGGCAGGCGCTGCCGAGGGTCCCGCGGCGGGAAGGGGAGCCCGACGCCCGGGCGCAGGGGCGGGGAGGAGAGAGGAGCCGGCTCCTCGGCTCCGCGGGAAGAAAGCGCGGCAGAGCCCCGAGCGAGCGAGCGAGCGCGCCTGGCGGAGCGGCCGCCCGAGAGGCAGAGCGCGGCGGCGGGCCGCGCAGGCCGGGCCCGTCCGAGCCCGCCGAGCGCAGAGGAAGGGCTGCGAGGGCGCGGACGCGGCCAGAGCCGCCCCCGCGCTGGGCCGGGGTCGCCCGTCTCTCACCGTCGGTCACGGCCCCCATGGCGATGGCGGCGGCCGCCGCTGCGGCAGAGGCAGGAGTCAGTCTGGGCGGCGGCGAGTGAGGTGGGTCCGGCTCAGGCGGCCGCTTCCCACAATGCAGCAGCGGCAGCGGCGGCAGCAGCGACGGCGGCAGCCGGGTAAGCGGCGGCCATGGAGGGGGAGGAGGAGGCGGTGTCGGCGGCGGCGGCGGCCTGAGCTGCACCGGGCCGGGGCAGGCTGGGGGCAGCGCGCGGGGCGCGGCAGGAGCGGGGGACCGGGCTGGGCTGGGCTCGGCGGCTGAGCGCGGGCGGCGGCGGCGGCGGCGGCAGTAGTGCAGGAGAAGCCCGCCAAGTGTGCCCCCGCCCCGTGGGCCCCGGCCTGCAGTGTTCCAGCAGGGCTATTTCCTCGCCAGGTGAGGGCAAAAGAGGGAGGAGGAGAATGCGAGGGGATAGGGCTCCACCCCACGCCCCCATTCCTATGGGTTGTGGCCTGGACTTGGCCACTGGCCACGTAACCTTTGGTGACCTTTGTGCAGTCGCCATGTGGCTGCCACAGGGTCGCACCAGCCCTTTTGGCACTGCCAAGTACCCCGTGCCCCTTCTTGCTGCCAGTGTCAGTTGTCTCTGCAGTTGCTTGTGTCTCTTGGTGACCCCTTGCTGTTATCGCTTTCCTTCACAGCCAGTATCATTACTTCACCAATGTTGCCGTGCCACCCCTGGCCTCCATTACCATTGTCAATATGGTTGCTGCTACCACCACTGCCATGTGCATCCTGCTGTCATCAACGTCATGGTCCTTGTAGCCTGCACTGTTACCATGTTCTGGTGGCTTCTTTCATCCGCAGCTTCATTGTCATGTCATGACTTTTGCCTATTATCACCTCCACCTCTTTGGCCTCCTGCATTGACACCGTTATCATCATCATTGCTGCTGCCACCACTATTGCCACCATCACTTCAGCTTGCTGCCATTTCTCTGAGGGCGATATTCTTCTAGTAGAGTTTGCCATGGCACCATCATCTTCTTTGCTGCTGCCACACTGACCTAAACACAGCCTTTCTTGCCACCTTTTTGTTTCTCTAGCTTGTGCCAACCATTTCGGCCTCCTTTGTGGCACTGTCACTGGAGTTGCTTCTCTTATTGTATTCACTTGTTTCACTCTTTGTATTCTTACTGCTTCTTTCAGTGCTGTAGTATGATAGCTCTTCTATTGCCATTACTGCTACAGCTCTGTCAAATTGGCACATCTATTAGGCGTGTGTCTGTTATGTTGATGTTGCCACAATTCCTTTGTAATTACCGTTTTGGTCATTTCTCTCATTCCTCTCATCATCATTTTCAGTATTCTTACACATTTTATGGCATTTACTGCTTCTGATACATAATTGATCTGGTGGTCTTATGTTAACATAGTTTCCTTTCTTTATTTCATGCTTCCTGTATCTTCAAATACTTGAGAAACCACCTATTTCCCATCATTTTCATATCACACATCCCACTTCTATTTTTATTTTTCCTATTAAGGTCAAAGTGATGTCTACCATTTCTGCTGTTACTAATGTGGTTGCTTCAACTTCCTTAATGCTATTTCTACTATGTTAGGTATGTCATTGTGATCTCCATCAGTGTGAATACCTCGCCATGAAATTTTTTTTGAAGTCTTACCAACAATTTAAGTGTTAGAATATCTTTATGATTTTGTTGGCTTTTGTTGCCATTGTTGCTTAACTCTTAACCATTGTCTTTATCTTTGCTCATGTTTCTCTGGCTACACTTCCTTCTGTTGTAGTACATACCGCTACACAGTTTTAGGGTTGGACCCAGATGTAGTCATACTTAGGACAGACTCATTGAAATCAGTGCTACTTAATTTAGCCATAATTAAATACTGCTTTCAGTTGGTCTGCTTATAAGTAAGATTAAATCTGTATCCAGGTTTAATCCTAATGTTCAACTAAGTTCCTGTTACTGCTTTAAAATATGTGATGGTAATATTGGTAAATTAAGATAATAGAGAATAATTGCCCATAGAATTCTTCTCCTGCTTGTTTCTTCTAAACCAATATAGGGCATATGAATATTGGGCAAATATCTGTAACTCATGCCATTGAAACCAGTTCTCTTGTAATGTATGTACTAAAGCTGAGCAGATTCCAACTGTCACTTATATCAAATATTGGATATCAAATAGGAATTTCCAAACATAGCATCTTGGATATCTAATTACACATATTCAATGGTTAAACCCACATTAGGATCTGCAGCAGCAATTCAGTTGTGATTTTGAAGGTAAAGTTACCTTCAGTAAGTGTAATTATTTTTATGTTGGTCTTCAGGATTTCATGTCCTGTTTTCCTGATAATTTAAGCATCAGCTGCTGACAGTGGAATAAGGAATGGTGTGCATGCTGAGAGATGTCAGTCAGAGAGACAGAAGTGTGCCTTTTTTGCTTATGTTCTTATTGGTGGTTTTGTTCTTCAGAACCGCCTCTGGGCCTAGTTGAAGCTCCAACTGTGATCCGGGGAGGGGGGGTATGTCTGTGGGAGAAAGACGGCTGTTAAAGCTTCCTGAGCACTCTAGGAAGCTGTAGCATGTAGAAGGACAGGCCCTGAATAGCGTAGTGATGATATGAATACTGTAGTCCTTTTGAACCACAGACTTTGATATTGCAACAGTCATGAGCTGTACCATATGGGATCTATTTATTTTATTTCAGGGAAATGTGTCTCAAATGTTGAAGGACTGGCCAGATTGTTCATGCACGGATCTTTTTTCAATAATCCCATTTCTTGCTGACATTTTAAAATGAACGAATCAGTATTTCGCATATTTAAAATGCCTGGTTTCCTTTACAGGCCTTTCTTTTATTTTGACAAGTTTCAAGAAATGCTTTACAATGCTTTGAAAACTGATAAGGAAAATATGAAAGTGTGGTTTGCAGTTTGTCCTGCTTTGGATGTAAACTTGCTTAAGGATTCATTCTGAGCCTGAGGATAACCTCCAATTGAAACACAGGAAATGTTGTACAAGATCACTCCAGTTCAGTTAGTTCAGTATCTTATTCATATTTAGAGCCTTAGGTCATTATAAATATGCCATTGTGCTAATAGAAGTTGCACTGGTCATCTCTAGTATGTTCCAAACGCCAAGTGTAAAACTCAATTTATAGATCTCATTAGAGCAATAAGAGCTTAGTTGTGGTAGGGGTGAATTTCAGGGATTCAACCTCCAGAAGATCATCAGGGAAATGTTCAGTACCGGAATCCCCATGGTGGACCATTGATTTTCTCCTAATTCTAGAAAATGTCCACATGTGTTGTCATCTTTATATGCTATTACTGTAGTAGCAGTATGAGAAGATGAATAGGTTGCATTGCAAGTACCAAGACTGTAATTACACATAATGCTACACCATGGTTTACGTAAGCCATGCTTTGCCTTAGCAATGAATTGGCCTGATTCAACACCTGACAAGTCAGTTATTTTAAACCCTGATTTACTGTGAATTGAACAAGAACAGTAAAGTGAGCTGGCTGCAAGTGTGTGGGGAAGTACTAAATAACCCAGGGATGTTCTGTGCCTCTGTTGCTTAGCCTTTTGTACAAACTGGGTACTATGGGGTGTGATCAAAAGTAGCAGCTAAAACCAGATAGTATCAAATACACCAGGTTTGCAGTAGAGTCCTAACTCAGGTAGAGGCCAAGATGAATAAGTGAGTTCATCTGAAGCCCTGGAATGATAGGACATTGCAGCTGTACTTTACTGTAGCAACAATAAAAGCTTTCCCAACAATGAAAGTTCTTCCAATATTACTTCATCTCCTGTATTTTGGTCTATAATAGCCTGATCCTACCTAAATATACTTCTTTCTGTTTGGATACTATTTCAGAAATATTTCATAGAAACAAGTCACACAGCCTTGGGTACCTTTTTTCTAAAGCTGCCTTGTAATAGTCCTTTTGGCATTAGGGAATTTGGCTTTGGTAGTCTATGATCTGGTAACCTCCAAGTGAGATCATTGCAATGCTCTCTCTCTCTGAGACTGCCCTTGAAAGTGGTTCAGAAGCTGCAACTTGTGCTAAATGTGGCAGCTTGATTGATAGCAGGTGCCTGAAGGTCTGAACATATAACACCAATCCTGGCTGCTTACACTTGCTGCTTATATGCAGTGATGTGGGTTTTCTGGAAAAAGGTAGAACTGGAAAAAATTCCAGTGTTCTAAATAATGCTGTCTGATTCAGTATGTTTGCTTGATTCATCTTTACTCCCCATTTATCTTATCTCGTAAACAGAACTAAAAATGTAACCCATGTTATATGTGTTTTATAAATATGTCAAACATTTTCCAAATATTTGAACTGAAGTTTGTGCTTGGGGAAAATTAAATTAACATTACAATATAGAGGATAAACCTTCAAAGCTTTATGTGAAAATTATTTTATTGTATTATTTGTAAATGTTTAATGAAACAAGCCAAGTTCATTCTGATGTTTGGTTATATTTTGCAAAAAATGACTGCACTGAAAGAACATACTGTTTCCAGGATATATACCCCCAAAGGGCTGCCATATATATCAAAAGTTTAATTTTCTTTTATTGAGATAACTGTACCACCTTGGGCTTTTTGCATTGCTTATCAGTCCCATTTCAGGTTGAGAAAAATCTGATTCAGAAGAGCTAGTAGAACATTCTCTTTTATCAAAGGAGTGATGTGGGTATGTCGGCGTAGGGTAGGGAACTTGGGTGGGAAGCATTCATGTTCCGCTTGTGAAATCCCATGGACAACTGATTGGCCATGGTGTGAACAGAGTGCTGAACTAGATTGTCTCTTAGTCTGATCTAGCATGACTGTTCATACGTTCTTAAGTAAAACGGTAATCACAGCCTTAGCTTCCAGTTTTGTTTAATTTGTTATCAAAATATATTAGCAATAGAAGGCAAATAAGTCTGTTTCAAACCCAGCCAGAAGCAAGTTGTATTGTGCACAGGAAGGGATTGATATATCTTATTTTTCAGTTCCCCCATGGGCAACTGAGTGCTTGGGTTTGTCTTGCTTTAGAAGAATAACTTAATACAAGTTTATATCCTATACTTAGCCCATCTCACATAATTTACATAATGTAAATTAATGTAAT